ATGCATGTAGGCAAGCTCAGAAGCTGCCCGAATTGTCGCCCTTTGAGTTTTATGACTTTGCGAAATCTCGATTAATGGAGGTAGAACGAGGGGAGGAGCTGCTGGAGTATCTGGACAGACCCGTGAATACAGGGATGTCAGGGGGTGAGCGGAAGCGTGTAGAGCTCCTACATGCAGTGGTCCTACGACCTAGACTCTGTGTCTTTGATGAGATCGACAGTGGACTGGACGTGGATGCATTGAGACAGGTGGGGAGGGGGACCTTCCTGGTGTTCCTTGCGCATGCGTGCGAGTTTGAAGTCCAACGCTGATACTAGACTAGCAGCGATACACGTTAGCTCACGAAGGGTCGTATTAGCCTGTTGAAGTGGATCCATCAAATCAGGGCTGGTTGGTGATACTACTATGCTGCTCGAGGCGATCGGAATGTATCATTAAGAGCGTATCTAACTAGGGTCTTTGGTTATAGTTCGGTGGTTTGTTAGTGGTGGTCGTTTACGCACGGGCTTTCTCGAGTTCGGCAAGCCTATACCGCAGTTTTCATTGTTGGAGTTGAATATTCACATTGTATGACCTTTCAGGTTGCGACAACTCTGCGGTCTCTACGTGAGGTTGACCCGACAATGTCGATGTTGATAGTCTCTCATTACAAGCGTATGCTCGACGAGCTCCATCCTACTAGGGTAATGGTCATGCAGGATGGTGTCATAGTCCATCAAGGTGGTCCTGACCTCATCAATGAAGTAGATAAGGGAGGGTTCAAGAGGGGATGGTTCGAAGGAGATGATGATGATGACCCCGTGAGTATCTAGATGATTCCATAGTGAATATTTTCTGTCCTCATCTAAATGGTTGTGTTACCTGCCCCCAGAACGCTTCCCTGCTTTTAACGATGGAGTTCCGGATTAGAGAGCCTCTGCATAGGTGTTTGCTGCCAAGTCCATATCGAGTAGATAGGTATATGTATGGGCCGATGCTTCCACAGTGAAGAACTCGACGACCATGTCGTTGAGATACTTCACATGAATGCTCATCATCGACTCCTCAGGAGTTCTGGAGGAACGCCGCCAATACTTAACAGTGTACAATCTCTAAGGCATGTGTCGTGTATTGCTGTTGTCTTCCTGCGATAGGACTTGTGTTTCCTATGAGTAGCAGCATGTTATCGCACGGTGGTGGCAGTATTTTCGTTGGCTGATTCGTAGGCTATCCGGATGATGATGAACGGTCCGGCCAATAGGGAGATCATTACTCTACAACTAGGCCGCTGTGGCAACAATATGGCGCATGAGTTCTGGCGGGATCTTTGCGAAGAGCATCTCATCGAGTATCGAGATGGCTCAGGTCAGTGGACCCATCTCGGTGCTTCATCAGGCCCCGATCACTAGGTACGTATACTGGGGAGGTCGATGGCATCAGGAGGGACCATATCTCGGTGTTCTTCAATGAGGGCTCCAAGGGCCGATACGTAGGCCCCTCGGGGCATCCCATATGTAACCACCAATGCTCAGGTCCCTCGCACTGTACTGGTAGACTTGAACTTGTCCGACCTCCAACAAGTGACCGGCAGCTCCGATGGTTTGGGCTCCCTCTATCGTCCTGAGGGGATCATAGCTAATGATGAGGTAGAGGACAACCAACCATAAAGCCTTGTTGTATCTCGGCCTCTATAGGGATCTGGTAACTGCTACGCCCGAGCATTCCACACAGAGGGACCTGACTTAGCCGAGCATGTCCTTGAGACGGTTCGCAAGGAGGTTTGCTGTACCCCACTGGCTGATATAGAGGGGGCGTCGTTGTAGGCGGAGAGCTGCGACTGTCTTCAAGGTGTGCAGTTTGTCCAGTCTCTATGTGGTGGAACGGGAGCTGGTAGGGCAGGTGCCGCCCCTCCTCCTCTTGGGTGGAGGTCCTGGTCAGGTCTAGGAGGCCTCTGTATGAAGACCATCTCGGACTTCCTCGACAGTGGAGTCGGCGTTAAATGCATCATGCAAAGCTTCGCCACCGTCCCTTCTCCTGAGTGACCTATCTCTAGTCTCTAGTCCATGTCGATATCCAACTCAGTGTCGGTGATAGAGTATTGGAGTACTACAATGCAGCTCTCGGTGTGCAGGATCTGATGGACTACTGTCATCAGGTTACTAGGCCCATATGCTATGCCGTCTCTTACTACCTCCTTTAGGCATTCCTCTTCGACAACATGGCCTTGTCGGCTATTTGCCAGAAAACTCTCAATATGGAGGTTCCGAGGTTCTCTAATATGAACAACATAGTTGCCCTTGCGATGAGCGGCATAACGGTACGTAACGCCTTCTGATCTGTAACTGTGTCCTCTGCTCTGTCTGGGGAGTATGCAATTGTGTATCAAGATGGAGTATTGTTGTCACTGTTGATATTGCAGAGTTCCCTCCGATTCCCTGGTACTCTTGATGCAGACCTCCGTAAGATGCATACCAATCTCGTGCCCTTTCAGAACGCCCATTTCCTCATGACTGGTATGCTATCATCAGTCGCTAGTAATCCTCTCCTTCTCTATCACAGGCTTCGCGCCGTTGACGGCTTTTCTTGCACGAATACAGGAAGGTGTTCATACTCGATTTGATGCAGCAGATGATGAGCAAGGACAATGCGACTCTGT